GCCTCCCAAGCAAGTACTGGGATTAAAGGTGTGTGCCACCACCCCAAGCTGGACAGATCTTTTATACATTCTAAAAGGATCAAAAAGAACTTGCCAGTTCTCAGTTTCAAAAACTACAATGGCTGTCCTCAGTCCACTTGGCCTACCTAAGAATGGGTGGGTAATGTTATTGTCACTTCATAGAAGAGGAGAGCAACTTGCCCAAAGTCATGAGATAAGAATGACAGAGAGGGACCCAGAGCAGCCACCTGTGTGACAAACTCCAAGTCTCTCTGTGCATCAAATACATCCTTGCCCTGGAAATAGATCTTCTAGAAGACCACCATGTGGCCTCCAAAGGGCATTTCTATCTGTGTGTGGACCGGAAGCTGGGTTTCCTGTTGCTCTGTGCTTCCTGTTGTTGCCTTGTTAGGATGTCCATCAAATGCATGCATTTCCTGTCCTTACTCTGGATAGTAACAGTAGTCTGTGACCACACTGTGCCAGAGTGAGACAACGACACTAGCCTCAGCCACCCCAGCAACCATCAACTGTAGTCACCCTGAATGAGGTAAGGCATTCCATAATGGTTTTATTTTTATTGCTTATTTTTTCTTTTTGAGATAGGGTTTTGCTATGTTGCCTAAGCTGGCCTTGAACTCATTATGTTACCCAATATCAAACTGCCAGCAGTCTTCCAGCCTTAGAACTCGCTGTGTCCTGGCCTCAAACACTCAGCAGTTGCCCTTAGCCTCTTGAGTGCTGGGATTACAGGTGTCACCAGGCCTCAAAATCCCATCCTGTACTTTTATTTTATGTTTATTTACTTATTATTACTTTGTGTGTGTGTCATATCTGTACATGTGTGTGGGTATACAAACCAGATGTCATGTGTCCTGCTCTACTGATGTCTAACTTATTTCTTTGCGACAAGGTCTCTGACCGAGCCCAGAGCTCCAGTGACCCCTCTGTCAGCCTCACCCAACACTGAGGTTACAGGTGAGGTGTGTGTTTGGCCACTCCCAGCTTTTTGTGAGAGTCCTGGGAGCTAAACTCAGGTCCTCAAGGGTATCTTGTCCACTGAGCCATATCTCCAGCCAGCATCTTTGCAACCTGAAGTTTTAGATTATAGTGTTGTATAGATGAAATCACTTTATGGCTAGAAACAATATTTTTTCAAGATTTATTTATTTTTATGTGCATTTGGGGTTTTGCTTGCATGTATGTGAGGATGCCAGATCTCCTGGAGTTACAGACAGTCGTGAGCAGCCATGTGGGTGATGGAACCCAGGTCCTCCGGAAGAACGGCTGAGCCATCTCTGCAGCCCCTGGGAACAATGTTTTTAAATTTCTATTTCCATTTTATTTATTTATTTTGTGTGCAGTGTATATGTATGTATCTGGGTGTGAGCATGTCATCGCCTGCTTCTGGAGGTCAGGGAACAACTTTTTGGGGTTAGCACTGCCCTTCCATCTTTTATGTGGGTCCCAGGGGTTCAACGCAAGGTGTCTGACTTTCTGGCAGGCACCTTTAACAGCTAACCCGTCTCGTCCCTCCATCCCCAAGAACAATGTTCCATAGAACTTAAATTCCATATTCTTGGTTATTGGTGCAGTTGAAGGGAAGGCAGTATGTAAAACTGGCCCATGCAGAATATGCTGGGAGACTGATACACGGCTGCAAGCTTGGGAAGGATCCACTGGGCAGATGAACCAAAGGAAAGTCAGGAAGGGATATGGAGCAGAAACTGAGGCAAAGCCCTGGAGGGCAGAAGGCAAAGTTTCTTACCAGAGGCAGCTGATAGCTGTGGGTTGGGGAGCTAGAGTGGCCTCCAGTCCTGAGGACCCAGCTTTGGACCGTATATGTTCAGGCAGCCTAGTGCACTGCAGTGGGCAGGAGGCGAAGCTGCCTTATAAACACACAACAGGAGTCCTGTATGCCACTGAAATTTTTCCTGTAGCCACACAGAAAGAGAAATAGGATGGGGGAAATACATACAATGTATATTTTGCTAAAAATATATATTTATGTGTATATTCATATACATACATATATATATACACATATATACACATACATACATACATACATATATCAGTGATAGGGCTCTTGTGAATGTACAAGACCCCAGATTTGATTCCCCAGAACCACAAAAATAAATACAAAATAGGACCAGGTATAGTGGCACACTCCTTTAATCTCAGCACTCGGGAGGCAGAAGCAGGTGGATCTCTGAGTCTGAGATCAGCCTAGTGTACAGATCAAGTTTCAGGACAGCCCTGTCTCAAAACACTAAAAAGTACAAAAAGGAAAGAAAAACAAGCAGGCGGAGGGGCTAGTGAGGTGGTCCTGGCAGTAAAATACTTGCCAGTTTTGACCTGAGTTCTGATCCCATTACCCACATTAAATTAAAAAAATGAGAACGAGATATTGTGTGCACCCACCATTATGACACTCTGGAATCTAAAGACAGAAGGATCCCTGGGATCCCAGTCTGCCTGAATTGATGAGCTCTGGGAGAGAGACTCTGTCTCAAAAAAAAAAAAAAAAAAAAAAAAAAAAAAAAGGTGGAGATCCATTGAGGAAAGCATTGAATGTTAGCCTCCACACATGCAAGCACACGCACATTCATACACACAAAAACTCATACAGGCACAGGACAGAAAAATAAAAGGTAAACAAAGACCGGGGTGGTTCAGGCCCTTCATCCCAGACAGAGGCAGAGGCAGGCAGATCCCTGTGCGTCAGAAGGCAGCCTGGTCCACACAGAGAGAGCCTGTCTCAAACACATACAAAATGGGATGTATTCATAAGCTTATCTAAGCTCACAGTGGCTGACTTCCTCTGCTCCTTCCCAGGCTGGATTTCCTCCTTCTGAAAAGATAAGTGGGATTTCTTCAGTTAAAGGTCTCAGCGGACAGCTTTATTTTGGGGGTTGTTTGGTCGGTTTGTTGGTATAATTAGCCCTGGCTGGCTTCCAACTCCATATGTACTGCAAGTTATTTATTTATTCATTTATTTTTGAGATGAGGTCTCCCTAGGACTTAGGGCTGGGCCTGGACTCAATCTGTCACCCAGACAGGCCTCCTGAGTTACTGAGATCACAGACCTAGTCACCAGGTGTCCTCCTCATTTGTTTCTTAATTTTGAAATATTTGCTGTCTTTATTAATCCCAGCACACAATGGCATGAGTTCCAGGCCAGCCTGTCTACAGAGCCACTTTCAAGACAGTCAAGGAGAGTCTGTCTCAGAAAAACTCAAACAAAATGATGTCCATTTATTTATTTATTTGCTCATTTATTTGTTTACTTCTTAATTAAGCTTTTGAGACAGGGTTTCTCTGAGGCTTTGGAGCCTGTAGACTAGGCTGGTCTTGAACTCACAGAGATCCGCCTGCCTCTGCCTCCCAAGTGCTGGCATTAAAGGTGTGCACCGTCACCATCCTGCCTTTCTTTTAATTCTTTATAAAGTATATGCAAGAGTTGTATAAAACCCTACCAGCAGACACACCTGCGAGCTCTTGCTTGATCATTGCTCGTCCCTGTGCTTATGAGTTCAAATTCCGTGGGCCTCTAGATGGAATAACACCCCATTATCTGTTTAGGAAATTTGTTTTCCTAGAGGAGTATTTAGTTTGCTTTCCTATGAAGTTTAATACTACCTCGTACAATGTTTACTTTTTTTCTTCAATATTCAGGACATGTTTATATTTAAAAAATGATTCACTATCTGATACTCAGATTAACAGGACTTCTATACCTTATATCTAAAGTACAATTGTTTTTTAGTACGGGGCTTCACATAGCCACAGATGGCCCTACAAGGGCTGGGATTACAGGTGTGTCATGACACCCCATTTATGCAGTGCTAGGGACTGAACCCAGGGCTTTGTTCATGCTGGGCAAGCTTCATTCCCTACATGAGTATACAAAAAATTGTTTCCGAGACAGAGTTTCACTATGTAGCAGACTGGCTTCCAATTCATAGAGATCTGCTTGCCTCAGCCTCCCAAGTGTTGGGATTAAAAGCATGCAACATCATGCCCCACCCCCACCAGGCCTTACAAAATAGCTTTTAGAGTTTATTTTCCCATCACTTGAGGTGAAGCCCAAGTTATTGTCTCCTATCCCCAAACAGTTGCTAAACCTTTAGTATCTTACCAACAAACAACACACCACACACACACACACACACACACACACACACACCATAAGGCAGGTTTGGTGGCACACGCCTATCTGTAATCCCAGCAGCTTTGGAACCTGAAACAGGAGGATCTTGACTTCAAGGCTACCTTATGAGACCATGTCTCAAAACTGAAAGAACAGACCAGCAAGGTAGCTTAGTGAGTAAAAGTGCTTGGTGCGCAAGCCTGATGGCTCGAGTTCAATTCCCAGAACCTACGGTAGAAGGAAAGGACCAATTCCTGACCTACACACACACTCTGTGGCACACTCATGCCTGCACATACACACCACACGTGAGCACGTGCATGCATGTACTTGTGTGCGCGCGCGCACATACACACACCAATAATAGTAATAAATAAAGGAAAAATAAGATCCCTAAGCCTTCACTTTCCATTCTTGGTTTGTTGTCTTGGCTGTCGGCCCCTGGGAATTCCCCTTGGTTTTTTATCTTATTTATTTATTTTTTGTTTTGTTTTTAGAGAAGGGTTTCTCTGTGTATGTAGCCTTTTAGACCAGGCTGACCTTGAACTCACAGAGATCCACCTGCCTCTGCCTCCCAAGATTAAAGGCGTGTGCCATCATTGCCCAACTCCCTTGGTTTTAAAAGGAAGTTTTAGGATTTGTCTCTCTAGAAAACAAAAGACCAAAAATCTTGCCGGTCACATCTGCTACTTGGAAACTGAAAGACCTGGCTTGGAGAAAAGGCTACATACTTGACGACAAAATATAAATTGATAATTTGCAGCACGTGGGTAAATGCTTGATTAGTGTCAGCTCTCAGGTGAGGTCATCACTGTTAACATCCAAAGACTTCTCTCGCTGTCCACAGTCACGCTGCCTGGGCCAGACCCAGTAGAAGCCAAAGCCTGTCCATGGAGGGATGCTGGCAGATGGAGATGACCAATGGCTCAGAGAGTGGCTTGGAGTTCAACCCTATGAAGGATTACATGATCCTGAGTGATGCCCAGAAGATAGCTGTGGCGGTGCTGTGTACCCTGCTGGGCCTGCTAAGTGCCCTGGAGAACATGGCGGTGCTGTATCTTATACTGTCCTCCCAGCAGCTCCGCAGGAAGCCCTCGTACCTGTTCATCGGCAGTTTGGCTGGAGCTGACTTCCTGGCCAGTGTGATCTTTGCCTGCAACTTTGTAATTTTCCATGTCTTCCATGGTGTTGATTCCAAGGCCATCTTCCTGCTGAAGATTGGCAGTGTGACCATGACCTTCACAGCCTCCGTGGGCAGCCTGCTGCTGACGGCTGTTGATCGATACCTATGTCTGTGCTACCCATCTACCTACAAAGCTCTAGTCACCCGTGGGAGGGCACTGGTGGCCCTTTGTGTCATGTGGGTCCTCTCGGCATTTATCTCCTACCTGCCTCTCATGGGATGGACTTGTTGTCCTAGTTCCTGCTCGGAACTTTTCCCACTGATCCCCAATGACTATCTACTGGGATGGCTCCTATTCATTACCATCCTCTTCGCCGGCATCATCTACACCTACGGGTATGTTCTCTGGAAAGCCCACCAGCACGTAGCCAGCATGGCAGAGCATCAGGACAGGCAGGTTCCTGGGATAACTCGGATGCGGCTAGATGTTAGGTTGGCCAAGACCCTGGGGCTGGTACTGGCTGTTCTGCTCATATGCTGGTTCCCTGCATTGGCTCTCATGGGCCATAGCCTGGTCACTACGTTGAGTGACAAAGTCAAGGAGGCCTTTGCCTTCTGTTCCATGCTGTGTCTAGTTAACTCTATGGTCAATCCTATCATTTATGCCCTGAGAAGTGGAGAGATCCGCTCCGCTGCCCAGCACCACCTGGTAAGCTGGAAGAAGTATCTACAGGGCCTCGGGCCTGAGGGGAAAGAAGAAGCCCCAAGGTCCTCAGTTACAGAGACAGAGGCTGACGTGAAAACCACCCCGGAGCCTGGTTCCAGAAGTCCAGGCTGCTCAAATTGCTGACAGCACCTATTTTCCTATTGGAAACAACCTGGGTGAGAAATCTGGTCACTCCCTCTAGGAGAGAGGTTTCCCAGACCCCAAATCACTCCCTCTAGGAGAGAGGTTTCCCAGACCCCTCTTTTGACAAGGAGTGCTGGGCTTCGTGGCTAGAGGGTGGCCTGCTCCTGCCTGCCTGCAGAGTCTGTGGAGCCTGTGGTAGCTGGTAACGATGGCAGGCTCTGTTCGCAAGTCAGGAAACCCTCCTGACCCCAGTGACGGAGGAGCCAGAGGGGCCTCCAGGGACCACAATAAAGGACTCCGAGGAGATCTGAGAAGATGAAGGGCCTGTTCTCCTGGAATCACAGAGTACCTTGGTCAGTGTGGTCACTGCCTGCAAATTCATCAGTGTCAGTGTCTTCCATGGTATGGGTTCCAGGCTGCCCTGCTAATGACCCGCAGCAAGACCAGCTGGTTCTGGTTCCTGCTTCATTGTTTGGGACTCCTTGGCTGGCTGTAAGCTATGTGAGGATCCACCTTTCAGGCCACCCTTGCCTCTTGAGGATCAAGAATTATGGTGTGCTGAAGATCAAGGATGCTGACTCAGACAGGGTCACAGCCATTAGCTCAGGGTATCTTGTTGGGCAAGGGCACTCATGACACTCTGAGAAGCCTTGAAGTCATTGTGATTCTAGGTCCCTGGGGGAAACTGGGTTTACTGGAGGTCCAGAGTCTTCGGGGAACCGTACTGACCTTGTTGACATTCTGCTGTGTCTAGTGTAGTAGCATGCCAGGCTGGCCTAGCTCCAGTAAAAAGAAAGATTTTCACAAAGATTCTCTAGGTCCTATGTTGTTCCCAGCGATGTTCAACTCAACCTCCTTGCCTCTTGCACACTCTGGTCCTGCAGGGATAAGCGAAAGGGGCTGGGGAGAGAAGACATCCTGCTATGGTCCTGGCACAGGCTGACATCCTCCGTCCACAGCCCATGCTGTGTCTCTGCATACCTGAACTTTATTTTCACCAAGGGATAACCCCAACAGAGGAAGGTTCAAGACACTGCTGGTGGCAGGAGGAGCAGCACCAGGAGCCAGAGGCACCGTGAAAGCAAAGCTATCCATTAAGCACAACATTTAATACTTACAAAGGGATGTGTGCTTCCTGTACGCTTGCTATTTCATCTGCATCATAAATACGTTGTGCCAGGCTGTGTGCAGTCCAGGGTATCCCGCCACAAAGGAGCCGGACCCCATCGGGGCTGGTGGTCTACATTCTGATAAGAAGTGAGTCAGGGAAGCTGAGCCTGGTGGAGCAGGCCTGTTAATTCCAGATCCTAAGTTCAAAGCCTGCCCTGAGCTCTATGTGCGGAGTTCAAGTTCAGTTCAGGCAAATTGGTGGGACCCAGTGTCAAAATAAAAAATAAAGGGCTGGAGAGATAGCTCATGGAGGGATGGCTCAGAGGTTAAGAGCACTGGCCGCTCTTCCAGAGGTCCTGAGTTCAATTCCTAGCAGCCACATGGTAGCTGATAACCATCTGTAATGAGATCTGGTGCCCTCTTTGGGCCTGCAGGCATACATGCAGGCAAGGCACTGTATACATAATAAATAAATGTTTAAAACAATAAATGAATGAATAAATAAATGAATGGCTGGAGCAGGGCATAGTGGTATGCAAATATAATCAGGTAGAATTGCTGAAAGTTTGAGGCCAGCCTCCCCTACATGAGACATTGTCTCTCTGTCTCTCTTTTTTTTTTAATGTGTAGGGGTGTTTTGCTGCATGCATGTCTGTGCAATACATGTATGCCTGGTGCTCACAGAGACCAGAGGAGGGCGTCAGATCCAGTGGTGAGCTGCCATGGGTCCTCTGGAAGAACAGCCAGTGCTCTTAACCTCTCGCCATCTCTCAGGCCCTGAATCCAGTTCTTACACACTTTCTACTTTTGCTTTAAGTAGAGAGGAGGAGTTTACAAAGGAAGAAAAGAGGTCAAGGCAAGGGCCCTGGGTAGAGATGAGAAACATCTTTGTTTAGATGATGATCCAGCCAGCAGACAAAACTTGCCCATTGCCCAGAGAAACAAATGAGGTGGTGTCCAGTGTAAAAAAACTCAGGCTCCCTAATAATGCAGGTCTGTCCATTCTGCTACAGACTCTCCCATTTGCCTCTGCAAGATGACATGTTGGTTTCTCTGTTAGGACAAGTGAAGGTCATGGTGTCCCACTTTATTCTCCCCAAGACAAGTTCTGTGCATCAGAGGCCACTGCAAATTCTAATCACTATTGGAAGGATGAGGGGGATAAGTGTGCTTAGTGTTTTAGATCATATTTCAACATTAACTTGGGAAGGAAGAAACAGAAAATATCCTGTTTCCTTATTGCTCATAAAAGGAGGAAGCAACTGGTCTATCAGCTGATTTTCTCCAAGGTGCCAGGCAAAGTAGGTGGAGTAATGGTTTTCTTTTTCTGTCTTTTTTTTTTTTTTTTTTTTTTTGAGGTGGGTGGTTCCAGATAGGGTTTCTCTGTGGCTTTGGAGGCTGCTCTGGAACTAGCTCTTATAGACCAGGCTAGTCTCAAACTCACAGGGATCCAACTACCTCTGCCCCCCGAGTGCTGGGACTAAAGGCATGGGCCGCCACCACCTGCCTGGAGAGATGGTTTTTACTGCAGTGAATTCTGGAACCACCTTTGGCCTACACTTTTGTGATCTTGGGCATCCCCCCGCCCTGTCCTCGCCTTGGGTCTATTGGGAAAGGTCGGGAAGAGGGTGCCTCAAGGAGCAGTAAAACTTCTTATTGCTGTAACATGTGGTGGTTGTCTCAGCAACAGTGGAGACAGTTGTGCCACACAGACCATGTGACTTCTGGCTTGCATACTTCCTACAGCTATGGACACACACACACACACACACACACACACACACACACACACACACACACACACACCATTGGGCACATGGTTCCTGTAGGGGAAGCAGGTGGCCTGCCAAACAAGTTTTGCAGACATTCCCAGGCAAGAGGGTCTCTTGGCTCTCAATTTTCTGGTCCTGATAGTCTAAAAACCGTGCCTCAGTGGCCTTCTGTGGGCTTGTTTGTAGGTGCTGGACTGATACCCCCCCATCCCAACACCCCACCCCCCTACCCACTCCCATCCCCCTTCCAACATGCTAAACAAGTGCTCTGCTCCCGAATTACTTCAGTTAGACACTCTGAGAGTTAGAGTTTCAGTTAGAGCTCTCTGAGAGTCCCTCAGGGGTTTGGGGGCCGCAGCTCAGTCAGTAGAGTTCTTCCTTTGCATGGGTAAATTATGCAGTACTGTGCAAAGGCCAGCACTGCACAAAACCAGGAGTGGCGGGGTTACCCCGACCTGCAATCCTAGCGCGCATGAGGTAGAAGCAGCAGGAATTCAGGGTCATCCTAGCTTTCAGTTCAAGGCCAGCCTGAGCTACAAGAGACCCCCTTATCTCAAAATAAATTTAAGTTACAATTTCAAATTAAATTGAAATGTTTTAATGCCTTAGAGTTCTCAAAGTAAGTTAAATGAACAAGAGACAAACAGAATAACCACGTCTGCCCTTCCTCTCAGCAGCCGTTTCTCTCTTCTCACAAAGTTCCTTCTTATCGTGTTTCTATCTCCTTATTTCTAAATCTCTTATGCAATTCTGCAATTGGCTAAGCGCCACCTGCCGGCTGGATGTATAGCGCAAAGAAACCGTAATTAACCACTACATAATATAATCTGGCTCCAACCTTCTCCTGAGGATTGGTGCAATAATGTGGGCTACTCCCTGTTCTCCGCACACCCTGGGTCCTTCCTGCTTACGGAAACCCGGCAATTAAGTCCCTAGGGGAACACTATGGAATTTAAATTCGATAGATTAGAGCTGTCAATGCCTCTTTGCGTCCTTTCTTTCAACGCCAGAGGGCGCTCGCGGTCAGAGACGGCGCTTCAGACTGCACGCTGGACCGCCCCCTTTCCTGTCCAAGCCAATCGTTACTCAGAGAGGCGGAGCTACTGGTCGGCGCCTGCGTGTTAAAAAGAAAGGTGCAGGTACGGAAGCAGGGATGTGGGAGCTGAAAAGTCAATGGCGGGCGGTGGGTTTTGCGCTTCTGCTGCTGCTGAGCGCTGCGGTCCACGCAGTGGTCCGGGCTCCGCGCCGCTACACCCCGGACTGGCAGAGTCTGGACTCTCGGCCACTGCCCAAATGGTTTGACGAGGCCAAGTTCGGGGTGTTTGTGCACTGGGGTGTGTTCTCGGTGCCTGCCTGGGGCAGCGAGTGGTTCTGGTGGCACTGGCAGGGCGAGCGGATGCCGGCCTACCAGAACTTCATGAAAGAAAACTATCCGCCGGGCTTCAGCTACGCCGACTTTGGACCGCAGTTCACAGCGCGCTTTTTCCAGCCGGACCAGTGGGCCGAACTCTTCCAGGCTGCCGGGGCCAAGTGAGTGCGGGCCGGGCGCGAGGCGGGACGGGGCAAGCCCACGGCCGGCGCTGCCTGACCTCGGAAGGCTCCACACCCCCGCGTTCTGCATCCTGGAGGATGGCGCACTGATGCTAAAGAAGAGAATCCTGCTGGGGTTTGGTTTTAAGAATGAAGTCGGAAAGCACTGGGTACTGCATCTGTGTAGAGAGAGGCTAGAGCCAGGCTACACCCGGTGTCTCTTCTATGAGGGCCAGAACACAGTCTGGACTCCTGTCAGTGGCCCGGAGTTGTGGCCCTGGACCTTAGGCTAGCTGTGGCGTCCGTGGAAGGCTATAAAAAGAAGCTACCTGAGTTAGTTCCTTGTAGCCCTGTGTCTGTAAATGGAGAAGGAAAGATGGGAGTTCTGGGGTACTCTCTGGGTTCTCACTTCCTTGTGGAGGGATGGGGTTATTTGGGCAGAGCCCTCCAGAGGAAGGTATGTTTTGAGGGCACTAAACTAGTGTTTGCCATTGTAAGCATAGTGGCCCACGCCTTTAATCCCAGCACTGGGAAGGCAGAGGCAGGTGGATCTCTGTGAGTTCGAGGACAGCCTGGTCTACAGAGTCAACATCAGAACGACAAGAGCTGTTACACAGAGAAAACCCTGTCTCAATTCCCCTCCCAAAAAGTATTTGCCATTACTTGTGTGGGAGTACAAGGCCTGAGGAATCAGGAAGCTGTCTTCAAGCCATCTCTCATATCCATAACTTGCAAATGAAAAAGGTTGATCTCTAGCCGCTTTCCAGACTCCCTGTTTTGTGGATGAGGTGACTAAGCCAGAAAGAGGAAGGAGCCTGGTACTCTAGACTGCACATCTTGTGACCTGGAGATGCATCCGGGGTTGCAGAAAGGAAGGGATGAGCCTAAGATGGGAGTAAGATGTTAATATGTTACCCTGAAGTCCAGAAGTCCCCACACCTCCTGTGATGAAATCACATGTTCACGTTATCTTTCTTCTTTTTTTTTTTTTTTTTGCCATAAAAGGAAATGACATATTGAATGAATTGGTTATTTCAACATTTGTCTTTTCAATCCCAGATATTTTAGTCTTTGTCACCTTCTGAAATGATGGGCAGTTCCACAGTTTTAGTAAAACAAGCAGCTTCCATCTGTCATCTGTTCTTGCCAATAGAGCAAGGCAGAGGGTTGAAAAAAGTTCATTACTTATGCCTAGAAGGGGTGAATCTGTGTGATAAGGTGCACAGTTTTTCTCTTGCCACCCTTCCCTCCCCTCTGGGCACCCAGTGCCGCCTCCTATTCCTGAGTCACAACTACAGGGGGATATTGTCACTATGAAAGCATCTTGGTTGTTGCAGTGACTCATCCCAGTATGTTTCCTATAATTGAGATCTTCTCGCCATACTGGGCAAGGTCATGGTTGTGGTCACTGCCCACTTCCTTTGTTCTTATTGGTTTTGATGTCTACAGGTATGTGGTCCTGACCACAAAGCATCATGAAGGCTTCACAAACTGGCCAAGTCCCGTGTCTTGGAACTGGAACTCAAAGGACGTGGGGCCCCACCGTGATTTGGTTGGTGAGTTGGGAGCTGCCGTTCGGAAGAGGTGCGTGTCTGTGGACGGCTAGCCACTCCACCCTCTTAACCACCCATCCCTCCAGAGTTCCATCCTTGTCTCCTCTTGTTTGTCTGCTGGAGCCATACTTAGCCACTGAGCAGATGGGCGGTCTTCACAGGACCACGGGTGATACAACGGGAGGAGTTCACAGTGGAGTAAAGGACACTCAGCGTAGACTATGATGGTCCATCTGCAGGCTGCACAGGATTTCCATGAAAGCTTGAACTACAGAGCCTTTCTTTTTGTTTTTTGATTTGTTTAGTTTTTGTTTTGTTTTGTTTTGTTTTGTTTAAGACAGGGTTTCTCTGTATAGCCCTGGCTGTCCTGGAACTAGCTCTGTAGACCAGGCTGGCCTCGAACTCACAGAGATCTACCTGCTTCCACCTTCTGAGTGCTGGGATCACAGGCATGCACTTAGAGCCTTTTCCTGTATGTGAGAAGCCAGGGACTGGGTCTCAGCTTTCTCTTCCACAGCCACTGGCATCCACCCAGCACAGAGCTAGCTGTTCAGGCCTGAGGGCAAGCTCTTGTAGTGGCAGATCAAAACTAAAGAGGGAGGCATACAACTGGTTCTACTCAACGAACACTCTGGTATTTGTCACTCAGTAGGAAGTAATAGCCAGACATGGTGCTACATGCTGGTGATTCTAGCACTTGGGAGGCACAGGAGGGTCAGGAGCTCAAGGCTGGCCTTAGGTATATACTGAGTTTGAGGCTAGCCTGAGATGCACAAGACTAACTCAAAAAGCTAAATAGTGATAATAGCAATAGGAGTTAACTTCTCAATATAAAAGCGGTGGGATGTGGCAGAGGTAGGTAGGCTAAGGTTTGGGGGGTTTGGTGCTGGCATACAAATCTAGGACCTCATGAATATTAAACAGTTGCTCTTCTGCTGAATGCATGAGTTACTTCTGTGTCAGTGACCACTTCAGGGGAGGAGAGTTTATTTTTAGAGAGTTTCAGTCTACCATGGTGGGCAGCTGCATTCATGGCAGCCACGCTGCCATAGAGGTTATTTATTTACCGAACATATGGCTAGGGAACAGACAGGAATGAGGGGCAGTATGTCCTTCAGAGCCCTTGTGACCCACTTCTGCCAGCATGTTCCACCTTGTACAGGTTCTGCAGATTCCCAGAATAGCACCACCAGCCAGGGAACAAGCCTAGGGGGAGACATTACAGGTTCAAGCCTCCAGCAGTGGAATGGGATTGGACTCAGATGTTCAGGTTTGCCTCTAAGAAAGGAAAGGACTTTCTGCTATGACCTGGTAAGCGTGGCATCCTGTTTGAGGGGTAGACTGCCTGCCTGCTTGTGGAAATCATCAAGTTTGATTGGATCCCAGCGTGCCTGTGTCATCCACTGCCCAGGACTCTGCCATGGATTAAGTAGGGAGCTGAGACAGAC